TTACTCATGTAAATATATCTAGCAGGCAGCAAATAGTTAAAGCTTCTATTTCAGGAGTAGTACCCCTCTGAGACCACACAAGAGGGACCCCTGCCCTGGGATGGCTTTCAGAGCAATACGATTTATGAGGTGATCTAAGAACCAGGCAGTCCGTAAGTAGCTTGTAACTGGGCCATGTGGGATAAATACAGAAACTGAGAGTAAGCATTTAGGAACTTCTGTATCAGATTGGCATTGGTGCATCATCTCATTAAGCAGAGTATAAGCCAGTCAAAATTGGGTTGTTAGCCACATGTCATGGACAATAGACACTTTTTGACATGTGATATTTAAGGTTAATCATCAATAACCTAAAAGCAAGTAAACTGTAAAGAAATGAAAGCATTCATTTTTTAAGAATTATTTTATTTAACTTTATTTGTTTACTTATTTATTTTAATTTGACCAGAGAGGGACAAAGTGAAAGAGAGAGAGAAAGAGAGAGAGGGAAAGTGAGAAAACAAGTCACCAGGTCTGGGACTCGAACCATGGTTTGCCATGTGAGAGTGTCCAGAACCTTAACCACCATGCCACTTACTGGCCCATGAAAGCATTCTTTTTTAAAGAATGATTTTATTTAACTTTATTTATTTACTTATTTATTTGAATTTGACCAGAGAGGGACAGAGTGTGAGAGAGAGAGAGACAGAGAGGGAAAGTGAGAAAGCAAGCCACCAGGTCCGGGACTCAAACTGTGGTCAGCCATGTGGAAGTCCAGCACTCTTAACTGCCATGTACCTGCTGGCCCTGAAAACATTCCTTTTTTATAAAAATGACAAATAAAAACATTTCATTGAAAGTATTTCTTTTTATAAATTGTTTTATCATTTTCAAATTAACAAAACCAGTTTCATGTGTGTATATACGTGTGTGTGCACACAGGTTACATGTGTTGTATATAATATATTACATGCATGCTATGTATGTAACATGTATGTATACACATATACATGTAGTGTATACACACATATACACACAAAACTGGCTTTATTAATTAAAAAATGATAAAACAATTTATAAAAAGATACTTCCAATTAAATTATTTTGTCATTTTTATTTGTGTATATACAAATAGAATAGCTAAAGCAAGGAAATACATTTCATATAATTAAGTTTACTTGTTTTATTCATGATAGTAAGCATGTGTACACTAGAGAGAGAGAGAGAGAGAGAGAGAGAGAAAGTAAGAAGCACCATTAACAGGACCTCGTCACACCACACTCCCCTCCCCCAGCCCTCCAGCTCGTAGGAATCACAGTCAAGCTTGTGTGCCTGGCGTGTTTTCAAGTTGACCTGGGATATGAATCTACAGTAGACCACGTGGCTTCCAGCACTACAATTCAGTTTGCTACCAGCTATGCCATCAGGCTGTCTATATAGTTTATTTTTAACCCTAAGTTACTGGGTTTGGAAGCAAACTTTATAGGACTTATTTTTCAAGAAACAATACCATTTCAAGATGTGGGAGTAGTAGTAAACCAAATGATGACAATGGAAGTTGATTCTGAAGAAATGAAGACCAAAGAGTTCATCGTAGCTTTTTTGAGTAGTATAACCCCTCGCATACCGAGCTCAATTTGTAACCATAAATGATGATGAAGTACTAAGACTGCAGTGTATTATCTGAAGAAACGTGTTGACTAATGGAGCAGTGCATCAAACCCTGAGTGGCATATGTATACCAAATGTAAGAAATAAGGACAAACTAAAAGAATTCTTGGAAAGAATAAGTATGGAATTTAAAACCTGACAGAAGCAGATGTCAACTATTTCACATAAAAGCAGCACGTTGTCTTATTAAATATTATTTGGGGCTGCCAAGATCAAACAAATATATATAAAATTGCCAAGACACGAACAGGAGACTGCATCAAAGATGTTAGTTTAAAAACATTGGGTGATAATATGGCCAAGGATGTAGCTCGGATATCATCTTCCAGTGAAACTACAGCTCAACATACTTGGGAATTGGCTGCTATAAAAGGCTCACTCAGAAAAAAGGAAAGTAGAAAAGTACTTTTGTATTGCCTCTAGATGAATGAACAGATACCATAACTATCCTTTGAGTATATTTTTTACTTAAATATAATTGCTAAAGGCAGAAATCGTTCTTTTATTTTCTTAGCCTCTTCACCAATAAACACAACTGTGCACTGTATAATACTATAAAGGATTATATTGTCCATAAATGTGTCTGGAGTTTAAGATTTTGTGTAGGATTCTATTCTGATGGCACAGCTGCAAGGACTGGAAAACATTCTGGATTAGTTACCCAGTTTAAGGAACTGTGCCAGAATGTAAATCAACATACCACTTCCTTCATCAAGAAAGAAGCCAGCTGACCCTAGGAAAGTCGTGGCTCTAGAAGTCCTTTTTTATAGAAAGATCATTTAAATTTCATGATAATTTTAGAGGATAAAGGGTTGAAACAGGCTAGTGGAAAAAAAATTGGAGATTAATTTTGCTCCATGGATGAACCTTGAAAACATGTTGCACAGAAATTAAAAATGAAGCATCTGAATTGGCTGAAATTACTCTAAAATAGCTTTTCTTATCTATCGAAATGCCCCTGTGAGACTGGTTTCTCTGCAAAGTATGGAAACAGGTTGGATGTACATTATTCTCTTCAACTGGTCTATGATTATCAACCCAATTACAACTAGTTACCAGGCAAGCTCACATGTCATGGAAAACTCTCAAATGTTGATTTGAGTGGTACTGTTCATAGTGTGCATACGGGCATCTAATAGAGGAAATCTTTTCATTCATAGAGTGTTGTTTAGTATGAACATGGAACAATCATAAGTTTAAAGGTCGTAGTGATCGACTGTGTTAATTATCCGTACATATACTTCCAACAGCATGTTGATTTTTATGGGTGTTTTTCCCTTTTTTATGTTTGCCCAAGTTATGTTTCTTGAAATGTCATTTTATGTCTAACCATTGACAGTTAAGGAATCTAACAATAAGAAATAGGGATTTGTGGGACAATCCCACACACAATGGAATGTTATTCAGCCATGAAAAGGACTGAGATTTTGATACATGTTCCAACATGGATGAACCTTGAAAACATTTTGCCAAGTGAAACAAGGTAGACACAAAAGGACAAATAGTGTGTCATAACACTTATGTGAGGTCCTAGCATAGGCAAATTCATGGAGAAAGAAAGTGGAATAGAAGTTGCCAGGGGCTGGGACAAAGCAGAATTAGCAGGGAGCTATTATTTAAAAGGTACATAGTTTCTGTTTGGGGTGACGATAATGTTGTAGAAATGGAATGTGGAGACGGTTGTACGACATTACAGATGTAGTTAATGCATTGTATACTTAAAGATGACTTAAATGGTAAGTTTTAGGTAGATTAGCCACTATATTTATATACCATATTTTGTTTATTAATTCATCTCTCAATGGACACTTAGATTGCTTCCACCTTTTAACTATTGCGAATAATGCTGCAAAGAACATGGGTGTACAAATACCTCTTTAAGTGCTTGCTTTCAGTTCTTTTAGGTATGCCTAGAAGTGGAATTGCTAGATCCTACAGTAATCCTATTTTTAAGTTCTTGAGGAATTGCCATACTGTTTTCAATAGTAGCTATACCATTTTACTTTCCCACCAGCAGTACACAAGGATTCCAAATTCTCTATAGCCTCATTAACATTTGTTATTTTCAGGTTTTCTATCATTGGAAGTCATCCTATGGTGTAGGAGGTGGTATTTAATTGTGTTTTTAAAACATATTTACTTATTTAATTAATTCCATTTGTTATTATTATTATTATTAATTTGATCAGGGAGCAACAAGTAAAAGGGAAAGGGAGAAAGCAAGCTGCCAGTTCTGGGATTTCAACCGTGGTCAGCCATGTGGTAGTCCAGTGCCTTTAATCACCATGCCACCTGCTTGGCCCTCATTGTGGTTTTTATTTGCATTTCCTCAACAGCTAATGATGTTGAGCGTCTTTCCCCATGCTTATTAACCATTTATATAATGTCTTTAAACAATGTTGATTTAAGTCCTTTGCCCATTATTGAGTAAAGTTGTTGTTTTTGCTGAGTTTTAGGAGTTCTTTATTCTGGATATAAATTTTGTTATCATATGTATGATTTTAGATATATATAATATATACATATATATATATATATACACACACACACATATGATAATATTTTTCCTATTCTGTGGCTTGCCTATGTACTCTCGTTTACATAAAGTTTACCACAGACTAAATTCTCAAAGAGAGTTTATGTGAGTTATCATGTAAACTCTTATGTGTAAGTTTATGTGTATTAGATCTGAGCTATGTAATACTCCTCTAATATGTCTCTTCCTGTTCAGCAGCTGGAGTGGCCTCTGTTATGTGCAACAAAGAACCCTGACTGATGCATTCAGTAAAGACAATTATACTATTCTTGTAATATTTTCTCAAAAGTTAGCATCTTGTGAAAAACTTTTCATTCTAGATGTGGCTTTTCTACCAACGTGTTTTGCTTATAACCTTCCAATATCTGTTAAACTTGTATATCACAAGGAGGATACAATGAAGATTATCAAAACAAAATACACAGAATCTAGCCTCAAAAAAGTAAGACTCTAAGTGAGAAACCTTAACCAAAATAGCACATTTAATTGTAGGAATTTTACTTCTGTGGACAGAAGTCTGACTGCTTTTTCCTATTTTTCCAAAGTTCTTTCAAGAGAGCCTAGAAGAGTCAC